GTGACATTACCTTGAAGGTTCTACACTTCCCATTGATGTTGTTACAGATCACAAGAACCTTGAGTATTTTTCCACTTCCAAAGTCCTGACTTGTCATCAAGCACATTGGTCAGAATATCTTTTCCAATTCAACCTTGTCATCCATTTCTACCCTGGCAGACTCAGAGCAAAGCCGAACACTTTGACTAGATGCTGAGATGTCTACACTAAAGAGGGGGATAGGGACTATGCTCAAGCAAATCTGCAAAATTCTCATCCTGTCTTCACCCAAGACTAGCTCATGTCGTCTCTTAGGGCCACTATCCTTGAAGCACCTGTTCTCCATGTAGTTCTCACCCTCAACATTGAATTTCTATATTGTGACATTCTTTCCTACATTGTGATATCCTTTCTGCACTTTCCTCTGATCCTATTGCTTCTCTGCTCCTTTCCAGATCTTCTAATTCATGCTGGACTGTTGATTCTTTCGGATTTCTATGCAGGGATAACTGCATCTATGTCCCAGAAACTAACGACCTACATCTGTGTGTTCTCAGGAATTGTCATGATCACCCTCTTTCTGGGCACTTTGGGCAAAACTACACTCTAGACTTCATTAGGTATGAATATATCTGGCCTGGCATCTACACTTTCATAAAAGACTACATCAATTCCTGTACCATCTGTGCGTGTGTCAAAGTTCCCCACCATTGCCCCTATGGTTTCCTAAAGCAACTTCTAATCCCAGAAAAACCTTGGAACTTAATCTCCATGGACTTCATCGAGCAGCTTTCCTCATCAGATGGTTTTATAGCTATCCTTGTAGTGGTTGATTGCCTCTTGAAGCAAGCAATATTTATTCTGACCCATGACACCATCACTTCCCCAGAGCTTGTCAAGTTGTTCCTTACCAGTGCATTCTCCAAACATGGTGTCCCGTCCCACATCACTTTCGATTGAGGTTCTGAGTTCGTTTTCCATTTTTTCCAATCACTCAAAAAAGCCCTCAACATCCGACTACACTTTATATCAGGTTATCATCTAGAACGTGATGGGCAGACAGAATGTACTAATCAGACACTGGAGTAGTACCTGCATATCTATTACAACTATCAATAGGATAACTGGTCAAAACCTCTTCCTCTTATGGAATTCGCTTACAACAATGCTTCGAGTGCAACTACTGGTGTATCCCCATTCTTTGCAAACAAGGGCTACCATTCAAATATTTCCATCTTTCTGGAATGCAACCTCACATCTTCCCATGCTTGTGACTATGCAGTCGACCTCGATGAACTCCACAATTTTCTACAGACAGAAATGGCCTCTGTGCAAAAACAATATCAAGGTCCTGTAGATTTCCAGTGTGCTCCAGCTCTGAAATTTAAGCTCAGCAATCTTGTCTATGTCAAGGCCAAATATTTCCATTTTACAAGACCGTCGAAGAAGTTATCAGAAAGAAATCTTGGTCCTTTTCATATTATTTCACAACCTAGTTCTCACTCTTTTTCACTTAGGCTTCCAGATACTTTACATTCAGTACATCCTGTTTTCCATGTTTCCCAGCTAGAACCCACTTTTTCAAACATTATTTCAAACTGAGTTCAATCTCTGCCTCCTCCTGTTGAAGTCGATGGCAAGTCCAAGTATGAAATATTGGAAATTCTAGACTCAAAGATAGACCATTGACGAAGACATTGTCAGCTACTATATCTTGTTCGTTGGCTCAGGTACAAAGGAACTGATGATGAGACATCTTGACTGTTAGCCACAGAACTCAAAAATACATCAGAACTGGTTTGAGACTTTCACTCTTGTTACCTAGACAAACCAGGGCCTCTATCTGACTAGTTCCTATGTGGGTTGCCACCACAAACTCTGAATGTTTCTCTCGTTTATTTTTTCCTATCTATTTTCTGATCTTCCTACTATTGTTGAATTAACGTTCAAGTCTTTTCCACTTTTCTGCTCTTTTTCCATTCACACAATTTTTAAAAGCTCAATTTCGCCAGTATACAACTATGATGATACGAAAAGCATTTTTACAGATGGAAAAGGAGCACGAAAAACAGATGAAAATGCCATCTGACCTACTTGTCATTACCACTGGATTTCCCAGAGCCACTTCCCTCTAATGACGACCCTTCCTCCATCACCTCATTATTTTCTGCCCTTTTCAGTAGGTTTTCAACTTGGCTAGTGGGCAGGATGACTGGGAACACATCCTCCTGCATCCTCAGCCCTACAATCTCCTCCTCTAGCCTTCTGATGAGGTCTGAGCTGTATTCTGACCCTTCCAAAGGGATAGAGGATGGGGTAGAGGAAGGAATGTAGGGTCTATCTAGGGACAGGACAGTGTTGATGATTTCTTCACCCAACTCACATAGGGCTTGAGTGGTTTCCACATGGAAGGCACTCACCTCATCCCAGATGGCCCACAAGTTCTCTGTGGTACTCCAACACTGATGTCCACGCTTCTGCTGTTTCCACTGTCACCACATGCAATGTGGTCGTTTTCCATTTCAGACACAGAACACTAGGCCCCTCCATGATGTCGATGCTCATCTCCTTCTCATCCTTCTCTTCGATAGTCTGTTTCTGTTTCTGACTCACATTCTTACTTCCCTTGCATTCACATAGCTGATGAGTGTGTGAACAGGCCTTGCATGATCGGTAGACCTTGTCATGCTTGGTGCGACATATGTAGCAGGGAATTCCTAGGGATTTGCAACATGAGCATGGGGGAATGAATACCTAGGCCTATTCACGGCTCATGGTCGACAACGATCAAACCTCCCTTGCCTTTCCCTTTTCTTTCCATGTCTTTTCCTCTGCCTCTTTCTATGCAACCTCCTCAGCTGTATGACACCTCTCTTTCTCTTTGTGAGCTGCCTCCACTTTTCATGCTGCCTTCTCCTTCTCTAGTTGATCCAGCTTCTTCTTCTCCTCTTTTTGACGTTTCTAGGCAAAATTCCATATTGATATCTGAATAGACTAAAACAGATACTATTGTAAAGTGTTCTTTAAGTGTTTCAAACACCTTTTGTTCTTTATCTCTCCAATTCTATTGAAGATCTTTATGTGTTAAGTCTGTGAGAGGTTTGAGATTCCAGCATAACTGAGTATGAAGCAATGGTAAAAGTTAGTGGAACCGAGGAAAGAATGGATGTGTTTGACTGTTCATGAAACTGGCCACTCCTGGATCACTTTGACTTTTGATTCATCCATGCAAACACCTTCATGACTAATGATCATGCCTAGGAATATGACTTCTATTCTATTAAAGAAGCACTTCTCTGGCTTGACAAATAAATCATTCTCTTTGAGTTGTTGTAGCATCCGTGCCACAGCCTTGTGATGCTCATCGAGATTGTCCAATTTTGTATAAATCAAAAGATCATCCATATAGATAACAACAATATTGTCCATATCTGTAAACAGCTCATTCATCATTGCTTGAAACATAGCCAGTGAATTACAGAGACCAAAGTATATGGCAAGGGGTTCTGAGATGAGTGATGGCACTAGGCTCTCGCAATGTCAAACACTAGGAACTAAGATTCGAGAAAACAAATCAGTTAATGTCTGACTTGAAGACATGGGACGATGAAGGAGTAGTGACAACTATACTCTCATCGATGAGATTAGCGCCAATCTTATCAGCTAGCACTAATCTTATCACACTTGTTATCTTATCAGGTGGCTGGGTAAGTTCTAGACTCAGTCCAGCCTTATGATCTAGAGTATGAGGGTCTAGGATTTACCTTATTCCTTAGTTCAATATATTTGTGATTATACTGGTAAAGCCCTGGCCTTAGCTGCTAGATAGGATGGTGTGCCTTAATGGGTCTTGCGAACTCCATGTGACTACGACAGTGTCCAGTTCTTCTTTTAATTTGGTTTGTTTTTCTATTATGTTCCGCTCAACATGTAACAGTTCCTTCACTATTCATGGAGATCATTCCATCAGGGGAAGGTGATCAAGAGTTGCTCTGATATCTATTAGATTGTAACCTCAAGAGAGGTAATCAGACACTTACAAAGGAGATTTTTTATCTTCAGATTGTTATTCAGTTATTCAATAGATAAACCAGCCCCTGTCTGTCCTAGCACTTTGTTGATTTCATTCAAAGTCTAAAGTGGCTAGTCAGTCATCATTTCAATGTTTGAAACTTACTAGAAATTCATTGAAAGTAAATAAAACATATGTCACAAAGCAAGCTTGAACTGGCTTCACAAATACAGTTGGATTCTACTAATAGTAGTTTAGTATGTTCTCATCATGGTTGTTACATGTCGAGCGGAACATGACAGAAAAACAAACCAAACTATAAGAGATGACCCTTGACGTGGGTCACTCGAAGTCCGCTAGACCCGTTAAGTCCTACCACCCTTATGATAGCAGCTAGGGCCAAGGGCTTTCCCGGTAGAACCACGAATATATTGAACTAAGGAAATACAGGCTGAGACATAGCTACTTATATACCCTAGATAGTGCGCATGGACCATGATCTGTGCTCCTTTGAGGTGAGCACACTAAGTACTATATAAGGGAGTCCCTACCTAATGAGGTATAACCCTAGACCTCCAAGGTCGAGGTCATAAGTCTAGAACGGTCTAGACTACCTAGCTACCGATAAGATAAGATAAGGAAAAAGAAAAGAAAAAGAAACGCCTTGAGCGCTAAGTGATACGTTCATCTCAATGGTCTTGAGAAAATATGGCCTGTGCAATCTCCTGATAGTAGGTGGTCTTTTGTGAGTTCATCTGACGGCATTGCTCCTCTTTCACATCCCATATGGAGTCAGAGAATAGTTTGATACAGGTATTATTGTTGGCCTTATATCACTCAATAAGACAAGTGGTACATGTAGAATGTTTTGATCCATTCCAGTAAACAGAAGAGATTTTTGAGGTGGTTGAAGGGGTTGGTGGGTCCTGGGCACTGCCTTGTCAAAATATAGCAAGCTCTGACTTGTAATCATACATTGACATTTGAGTTAACCACTAGTCCTCTAACTGGACTAGTAGATCAGTGAATAGAGCACCATAGTAGTACTACTGGAGGTCACAGGTTCAATCTCTATCTAGTCCACTTTTCCAACCAAATTTTGGCATGGTAGTAGCAAATTGTTCATCTAGCTTGTTACGATATGTATTTTTCCTATTTTTCCCTCTATTTTTCTCTATTTTTCTTTCTTTAGCGCCTAGCGCGCTTGCACTCAACGACTTAGAAATGTCTAAGTCCTTTTCCTAATCACGTGACTGGTCACGTGACGTGATATGTGCAACTAGCTTGCACGCAACACGGACATACCCCTATGTCACCTCTTCATGGACTCACAGGCTTTAATAGCCTTATGCCTCACCTTTACTGTATGTTTTTCATTTCCGTTATTTCATATTTAATAAGCTGCCACACCTCATGGCACACACACTGTTTTAATGTGGCAGCACATGTTTTCCTCATTCCATGCTTCCACTTCCATTCCACACATGTTCTCCTCATGTGATGATTCTCTTCCATTTCATGGCGATGCTTGATGCACGCCTGCTCCTCATGTTTTCCCACCTTATCAGTAGATAAGAACACTACATGTACAAATAGTGTAACAGTATATAAAGGTCCAATGCAGCGACCAGAGGACTCATCGAATCCTCTTGGTCTTTATACCAGTGTCTCCATACGAGCAACCTTGGTTCTAAGTCTCTTCAGTACGCCCTCCACGAACATGTGAGCCGCTGATGTTTCATAGCTAGCACCTTAACAGGGTCACTAGAAAGTGGTATCCTTAACCAGGTCACTTGATCACAAGCTGCAAACTCTTGGAAAAGTATAATGCTCAAGCACAGTAAACACTGGAAATTTGTCAAAGCTATGGGATTACAACTGCACTCAAGTAGGAGTGACAAAATTCGATAGTGTTCTAGCTCAGAAACACTAATTTTAATATGTTCTGGTGTTCTAGCTCGGAAACAGATTTGGTGCAAGACTTCAGATTTGATGGGATTCATTTGAAATATCTCAGACATACTCTAATATTTTTTCCCTTCACATGTCTACTGCTCATTATTATTACCTATGCCTTTCAGACCTGAAACTATGGTATAAGCTTGTCTCCACCCATATATAAAGATTTCTTCTACCTTCTGAGCACCTCAGTTGTTCCTACTCCTTGGGCTGTGGCTGAGGTGAGTCCCTTTGTATTGTTTACAATGTACTATACTGATTGTACTTAATCCAGACACACACTGTCTGCTTTAGATTTTGTCTTGCCTGATGTCACATATGACTTTCCTCAAGAGAAGCAAGCTCCCCTGCTTTGACTGGTTGCCCGACTAGTAGACATGACAAGCATGATGCTAAGATGCTGAGTGCAGCATGTTGGTGATGGTTTATTGATGGCAATGCTGTGCAGCATGTGCCGACGGAGTTTCAATCCGGCTGTCATTTGGCATGTGGCCCACAAATTGTCTTGTGCTTTCTCAGGTCACTTTGAGATCCGCTGTTAAATGTATCCATACCTGTTCCAGTCCACATTTTCAATCAACATTAAAACCACTGTTCCGTTCGAGCTGGAATTGAGGATGTTCAATAACAGTGTAACATCTGTTCTTGGTACTTCAGTAGAGCAGGAAAGTGTTAAGCCCGCCATGCAACAGGCCCTTGACCAAGGTGCTCAGATCCTTTAGTGCCACTCAAATGCAGAGAGCAGATGATATATTTCCATATTGAACACAAAGATATCCAAGTTTGTATACGAACACATCTATACTCAATCAGGTGTGAGTATTTTCTACAAAGTCTTCTACCCAGTTCATTCCAACAAAAACCTTCTCCCAATGTTGCTTGTGAATGGGGTCAATGAAAGATTTCTTGAACACAGTTTTAGGGTCTTCGGACTCTGTTGACTTCACAGACACTGTGTCTTGGTGCACTCCCAAGGAACCCTGGTTGGAACTGCGCCCCCCCCTTGTAGTACGGATCCACGCTAAGTATGTCTGGGCAATCCGCAAATCAAGTTCGTGGCCCTTGCCAGGAGGGTAGTTCTTGTTGTCGAGGAGGCTGCCAGACAGATCCAAAAAGTTCAACTTTTCCTTCCTGCACGTCACTGCGTCTACTATGAGCCATTGATCCAGAGCCTTATTTTTCATAGGCTGTCCGTTGCTGTAGCGAAGGCTTATCCATGTGAGTACCCAGATGAACGACTCTGCGTCGTGTTCATACAGGTGCTTGACCTCACCCCTAAGGGCTTCCTCGGTGAGGAGATCAAGTGCCATGAACGGCACCGTCCCGGTACGTTCGGTCCCAGTGACACCATCCCCGAGCGACGCTAGATCAAAATCATTCAGGACACCTACGATCTTCCCGTTCACGATCCGATACATGAGATTGGATGGGCTGACGTCTCGGTGGCGAACACCGTTGGTCCAGAGCACGAAGTGGCCTTCATGAAAGAGTCAACCTAAGTTCATTGCAACATGTTTTCGACACGACTTACACCTCACAGTGTCCCACCATGCACGCAAAAACTCGACCCCGGTGAGCGCGGTGATCGGCTCCAACTTCCGAAAGACGATCACGTAGAGAACGCGAGATCCATTGACATTGAGGCCAAGGCGCTTCCGAATCAATGCGGTCGAGGTGTGCAGGTATTTCTGATAGCACACCATGGCAGGGACGTGTCCTTCGACATCGTCGCGTCCTTTAACATTGTTGTTCCCCGCGATTTCGTACACTTTCTGCAAAATATCGGGCTCGCTCTTGCGCGATTCTTCCGCCCAGAAGACTTTGGCAATGAGAGGACCCTCGCTGGAGAGTGTTTCACTCGTCGCAGGGAAAACATTCGTGGCTCGGCCATTGAGACCGAAGTGTGTCCTGCGCTCGTCGGAAGATAGCTCGAGTTCGATGTCGATCTCTTTACCCTGTTGATCATGGAAGGTCATCGTGGGTGACCGCGAGCATGCCTCGAATTTCGGGTCGATGTTGGGATTCAAGCCCCAGTGGCAATCCTGGAAGCGTTGCATGGCGAAAAGAAGGACCAAGAATCGCGGCAGATCTTCAATGAAATTAAGGGCAGAACACTGAATCGCACTCTGTCGATCGTAGCGCCATATGTAAAGAAGATCACCTATCGTAGGATGGGTAAATGCAGTGTCAGAAAGGACAGATGGAGTCACCCACCGACAACTACCAGACCGAGCACATGCTGTCGCCCGGTGTGAGCGGCAAACATTTCAGCCGCGTAACCACCCGCCTGGACGATGACCGGGTGACGCCCCTTCGACTCAGACTTCTGTCGTTTGGGTTCGGAATGAGCACCTTCAGACGACCTTTTACGACTGTTTGAGCCGGATTGTGAAGTCCCAGCACCAGGCAGCGAAAGAAGACGACTGGAACGTCGGGCTAAACAAAGGTCACTATCAAACCAGCCTCACGGAAGAGGCACATACTATCGGCTGGTGGTTTAGAGTTAGCACTCGCAGACGCAGGTGCAGCTGGCAGGGCTTCCGACTGGCGAGCATCATTTTCTTCCACCTGTTGGTCCATCGTGAGATACTGAGGTTTCGGGGGAGGTCTGTGGGACGAGAGAGGATAGGACGAGGGAGGTTTTGCCATTTTTTTTGTGGATATCTTGAACTCCACAAACATGCGGATGTTGCGCCACTCGAAGGGTTTCAAGGTAGGTTTCAAGGTAGGTTTCAAGGTACTCGTTTCGTTGTTGGAGAAGAGCTCACTGCCAGGGGGCTTTGTGGCAGCTTTGAGTAAAAGTTCCTCCGGCTGTAGGATATCACCGGTGCCACCTGCTACATGATTACGTGCGTCCGACCCCGACACAACGACAACGTCCGGTTTGCGTTCTGAAAGCTGTCCTTGGTGAACTTGCTTCAGAAATGATGGGTCGTTGACGTGGAAGCAGACGGGAGGGCTGTAAGGTCGGGTTCCTGGGCTGCAAGGTCGGGTTCCTGGGCTGCAAGGTCGGGTTCCTGGGCTGCAAGGTCGGGTTCCTGGGACGTCAACCAGCTCGAGACACAGCAACGCTGTGTTCACTGCGGACACGAAGTGAGGGTATAGAGCTGCTTCGACCTTTTTGCTACTTTCGGAGCTGCATGGATTGATCAGATGTGAACAAAGCAAAGCGTCATTATTACAACGTACTATGACTTGAGATTCTCCTTGATGTCAGACGACTTTACTTTGAGATCCTTGTGTTGAAACTTGCCATTACAGACGTCGACCATTTTCTCTAGTAGCTGCTTAAACAAGCTCTCCGTGTCCGGCGAAGGTGACTTGTTAATGCAGTCCTCTATGAAAACCTTCAACATTGTGTCGACCGAACACTCGGTAAACTTCTCAACGTCTCGGGTTATCCATGGACGAACGTTGGACACTCTATACAAGAGGAAGGTGAAACGAGGTAGAAGAGATGACGAGCGCCACTCACTGTACACCGACGGTGTCAATATTCTCGCTGACGGTGGCAGAACCTCGGGACTGCGGAGTGCTCTGCAGCATGGGGTTGGCAGGGTTGGAACGCGGCGGGGAGTTGTCTGTGGCCATGTCGATTTTCGAGCTCAGGAAGTGGTAAGGAAGAGTTGTTGGGAGTGTCCATCGCCCGTACGTTCTATTTGTACTGTGCAAGTGAGGTGTGGCGTTGGTGTGGCGTAAAGAACGAACTTCGGTTTGTTCTCGTCTGACACATATTGCCATCAATACGTCGCGGTCACTCCGAGTCAGCTTCGTTTGTATTCTTCCATTACTTGTTTTCTCCATCGAGGGAACAAGCTCCATCGAAGGCATCGCATATACAAGGCGGCATATGTACAGCATGTAGCATATTGACGATTTAACACGCCAGAATGGACAAAACTCATTATTCTAGGATGCGCATATGCAACGATGGCATCAAACGGTCGTTGGAACGTTGAGGTTTGAAACGCTGATGCATTCCCCCACCAACGCAGGGAACAACACTCGAAACGAATGTTGTTTCAACTCCGTTTCGCCACCGTGGCGATGGATCATCGATCAATTTCCAGAGCGACGGCGACATACCATCCTGCCCACGCCGCCACCAGAACACACCAACTCAT